CCAGGCCTGATGGGGTTGAATCTCTCTTCCAGTTATTTGCTGCTGTCCATTTTAGTAAAACTAAAGCCCTCCTGCATTCCTAAGGCTTTTACAGCAGCACAGGTAAAAGTGAGGAAGCTTATGCCATAGGGCTGACTCTGGCAGCTGGAGCAGAGGAACAGCTGAGCACAGGACATGCAGGGCTGTGAACTTGTGCTGCCTGCTGGGCTCCGTGGTACTCTTTGTATGTGGGCTGAACAAGAGAGTTATGAGATGCCTTCCCTTTGTCATGAGAACGTCAACAGAGTGAGCCTTCAGTCACTCATCTAGAATTGGATGAACTTCAAGTTCCCTTCCTACCCAAACCATTCTGTGATTTATTTTTCTATCAGCCAAAGGTGTGCAGTTGACGTGACAATGAGCTGTTGTTTTTCATATTGAATCCTAAGCAGTTGGTGGAAAATAAAGTTGTGATTTTATATGGAAATTAGAGAGTCTGCCCATTAATTGGACATCCTTAGAGTGCCAGGAGCTGGGAGGCAGCAAACACCTCCACTATTAACAGAGATCTGAAATTACAGTTGGAGGTGATTTATGTGCCTGAGTTTTCATTCCCTCCCTTCCATTTTGCAACAAAAGTATAATTCAACAGTTTTGAGTGTACTGTCTGCTTAAGGTATTAACCATGCTGTGACTCAATTATAGATGCAGGGCATGACCCTGACACCAAATGTACAATTGCCTCAATATTGCTCATATACTTTTCAGTGGATGCAGGATTGAGTAAGTAAAAATAATCACCTTTTGTTTTGCCTACCCAGATACCATAGCAACTGAAATGCCGTGCTTAAAATTATCATTGGTTTTTCCTTCTGTCTTTTTGTTCCATATGGCACACCCTGTCAACTGTCTCAACATCCAGTTCCTTGGGTGCCAGCTATCAGTGTGACAGGAAATGAAATGTGCACAGGATTTGATCAGTGATGCTGAGTTTCATGAGCTGTCTGCTTGGTTTCTTGGCATGCCCTGAGGCAGCATGTCCATGACACAGCAGGACTTTCTGACTTTGCCTGGTGAGCTGTGCCCTTGCTCCTGTGGAGGAAAGCTGCACTGCTGTGTGCTGGTAGCATTGGGAAGAAAATGAATACAATAATGCCGGGTTAAGAGAGCCTATTAAAAAAAAAACAAAACAGCTTTTCTTTTTGATCACACCATGCCTGGAAGAACTTGAAATGTTCCTTCTCTGCAGTCCAGATCCTTCACAATTCTGCCATTGCACGCCCAGCTCTGATACTGAGATCTTAAGAAGCATTAAGGCATTAAAAGCAGCACAGTGCAGCAACAGTGTGTGGGCCAGGAAACCAGGAACCAATTGGAACCAGGAACCATTTGGTCTCCAAATGGACATTGGAAGTGCCAAGTCTGCCCTGGGGTATGCTGGTATGGGACAGTGTATGTCACTCATCCCAGACAATGCACAGATTGAGTGGAAGGCTGCAACAGATGAGAATTCAGTATTTGTATATCACACATTAAAAAAGGCAGGAGAAGATTTATCATTCATTAATAACATGGATTGATTCACTGAACCAAAAATGGTTTTCATCTGCAAATAAGATAATTTCATTCACTAGAGTGATTGCGCTACAATTTTACAACAGGATTGAGAGCCTTTTTTATTGATCACTTCAAATCAATTGTGCAAAACACAAACTGGTGCAAAACCACCCAATCACATTTATGACTCTTCTACATCAGTACATGTGGAATGTTGATATCTATCATCATGTATTTGTTTAATCAGGCTAATATTTCATCTGCCTCATTGGACTGATAATGTGATGAGAAAAACTCTAACTACTGAAACTGATCAACCTATTCACTTCTGTTCAAAGAGCTAGCCGAGGTCTTTTGGTCTTTTTTAAGTCACCCAGAGATTCATTTTCTTTTCTAAACATTAGATATTGCAGAAAGAAATTAAAGTCTCCTTTTTAGGCAAAACCATCTTTTGGAACCACAGAATTCACTTACAAGTTTGAACTTTCTGTACTTGAGGAAAACTGGTAAAATTGGCTACAGAAATCACTTTGCTCCATGGGCTTTTTGCATCCTCTGCTTTGTTTTCCTTTCTAAGGACTCTGCATAGAAGATCTTGCTTTCTCCAAGTCAGACAATCCTCCCAAAGTCCTAAGGAAATGGACTTCCCTGGCTGTGCCTCAGTAAGGAGAGCGAATGGAACTGTGATCCACCTCAGGGAGAGAGAGTTCAACAGCTCCTCAAATTTGGATGACACAACTTTGCTACTTTTGTTGGAGGAATGGTCTCTCACCCCACCAGGCACACACACGAAGATGTTCTTAATCTCTCCAGTTGTCTGCCTCGTGGCAGGTGTCCTCATCATCCCAACCATCTTATTTGTGATTTTCTCTCGGTTTAAAATCCGCCAGGAAACAAGGTACATGCTGCTGGGAAACGCTCTGCTTTCTGATCTGATCTACCTGCTGTTCTACACCCTGTCAGCTGCTCTCAATGCAGCACACCTACACCTCCCAAAGGAGGCTTGTGTCCTCCTCTTATTTTTGCTGGCAGTGGCTTACTGCGGGGGACTGTTCACAGCTGTTGCAATAGTCTTGGACACGTACATTGCTGTTTTGTTTCCTTTGCGCTATATTGCTATTTTGCCTCCCTCACGAACTAAAAAAATCCTTGTATTACTGTGGATGTGTTCCGGAGCTTTCCCTGGGATTTTCTTCTTGGTGCTATGGACTACCCACAGCTTTGTGCCCTGTGTCCTGGAAACGTGCTCAGTTCCAGTAATACTAATATTAACTCTGAACAGGACTGATGCTGTGAAACTCTGTTTCTGGCTTTCTACTACAGTTATCATTCTCTGCCTGTCTGTAATATTTTGTTGCTATGCTATTCTGTATTTTAAAACCAAACACTCGGGTATATGGGAGAGCATCTGCTCCAGAGCCAGTGTAACATTTGTAATGCACAACACTGTGTTATTTTTTTACTTCTTTCCACTCTTGGCCCTTTTTGTAGAATCATTCTTGTGCGTTAATGTTTTTGTCAGACTGCAGACAGGAATCTTGGTCTCCCTGACCGTCTGCAATGTCCTCATGATTCTTCCTAAAGTTCTGTTCCCTTTTCTGTATGGGCTTCGATACAGAGAGATCTCAGCCTCTCTCAAATCCATTGTCAGGAGGAAGCAGCTTCGCCTGGTGTCACCTGCCCCACCACCATCCTGAGGCAGCACAGAGTACAGTCACAGCAGAGGAGCTGTCCTCACCTTGTTATCATGCAAGACTGATGGAAATCACCCAGCTTCTGAAGTGGAGAAGTGATCAATCCATGGTAAGAAGACATGGGTTCATCACTGCCTCCTTTGTGCCAAAAGGCCACAGATCTTTCATCATGACACAGCTGAGAATATAGTGAATGCTACCCTGGATGAAGTTCCAAGCTTTGTTCTGATGTGAAAGGCAGGACCTTCTGGAAGAGATATTGAATTAAGGTCATTTTCACCCATCTGTTGCAGATGCCTTTCTAGAGAAAAGAAAATTAAAAATAGATAATGCAAAGCAAAGGAGTAACCACAGGTCTCGTGACAGCATCACCTACAGCAGAGGATCCTTAAGCAAATGTGCTGTAAAAACAATAACCATTTCTTTCACACAGTATATTCTTGCAAGCTAGGCATCCAAAGTCCTGTTCTTGAGAACATGCACTGAGAGGTGCCTCTGGAAACTGCTGCACTCGGTGGAACACCATTGCTCAGCTTGTGCAGTGTGCTGGTGTATTCACTGCCTTATGGATTCCATCTGACAGTCTGCAAAACACTGATGGTTTGATAAAATCTCCTCCTGATGGGAAGCCACCTTAGATGTGTCTGCTGGGCAGCACAGAGGTGGACGTGCTGCTGGGGGAGGGAGGACAGGGGGCAGCGGGTGGCATTCCCCCCTTGCCAGGTGCAGAACTGCTGTGCCTGCGGAGCCCAGCGTGTGCTGCGGGAGCCTGGGGCAGCCCAGACCCCGAGTCCCTGCTGGGGCTGTGCTGAGGTTGAGCCCAGCAGCTGGAGCAGCAGGGCAGGAGCAGAGAGGTGCCAGGCTGGAGCACCCACACCATGGCTCAGACAGGACCCGGGTGAGGGACTAAGCGTGAACATCCCTTCTGAATCTCTGCCGAGGCAGCTCTCAGTTCTGCCTCACAAAAATCTCCTCCAGCAGCCTGATCTCAGCTTACAGCTACACCATGTCAGAGCTGCTGCTGGGTACCTGCCACCAAAGCCTTGGCAAGGTTAGGAAGAGAGGCTGCAGAGCTGGTTGGTGTATTGGGGCAAGAAAAATGAGATCCTGTAAGAGCATTTTACATTTTCCAGATCAGCCACCTACCTATAGAAGACAAGTGAAACATATATCTGACCTTTGAAGAAACCAAAATGTCATTAGATATAAACATCAGTGTGGGAAATTTAAATTGCTGATCTGTCCCTTGGACTTGAGAAAAGAGTTCTGTATTTCTAAAGATAATATTTTTATAATTTGTTATGTTTTATGCATAAATACATTGGACTTTTAAAAAGGTCCTTGATTTCACTCTGTGCAGTATTTTCCTTGTGCAGACTCTCTCCACCTTCTGTTTGCTTAAAGCGATACACAGAAAGTGCTGAATGTGGCTTTTGGCTATTTCACACTCATCCAAAGAATTCCACAACGTGTGAGCCAGGAGGAGATCGGTGTCTGGTTGCATGAAATGTTTTTGGCAGCAGAGTGAGTTCGAGCAGTTCCTGCTGATCTTCTCTCCCCGTTCCCAAACTGCTTGTTACTCTCCTCACATTGCAGTGTCCACTCTCTCCTGTTTGCTGATGCAACTGCTTCTGGGGTTGCAGGTTAAAAATATCCCTTCAAAGAGAAGTGGTGTTTTCATTGTAACTGAGATTATCCCAGCGATCTGTTTTATAGGATGTTCTGAAAACAGCTGCTGCATCAGCACAACAGAGGGTGTAACAAATTCCAGTTCAGAGATGGGGGGAATGAGCAGGGACATCTCAGAGACTTTGCTGCTAAGGGACACTTCTTGCCTGAGAAGTATCTCTAAGGTAAAATTGTGGCAAGTCAATGAAATGTAATATTGCATATTTGCTTTAACCATGGTTCTGTGCTTCTCAGTCCTCTTCAATAAAAGGATCTAGAATTTGCATTTTACTGGCTGCTTTTATTTTTCTCCAAGATGAATGTACCATGGATATCTGAAACTTTGTATTCTTTATATTCAGCCTCTAACAGGGGTCTTCCATAACACATAGGAATGATGGGGAAAATGTCTGCATACTGGACCGGGTTCTTTCTGCTGAACCCCTTTGGCATATGGTAAGATCAAGAATGGAAGAGGTATTTGTGAATCCCCAGTCTTTCATATCCTGGGCCAAATTTTTATGCCAGTGCCCAATGACAAGGACACTGATAACTCACAGGTTGTTTTGTCCATGCAAGGTCCATTCATGTTTACCTCTATTGGAAATTTTCATGATAAGAAGTAGAGATAACTGTGTAAATAGCATAAAGTAAGGTAATTCTATATGGAGCCATAGGTGACTTTGTGTAATAGCTAGTTAACATACTTGGTCTTCCTGCTGACCTCTGACAATTATGAAGGTATAAGCTGGACAGGATTCTGTTGCCAATTCTATAACTCTCTCTTACATACACATGTCCTGGATACAACAAGAATTTTGGTAACATAAAGAAGGATGGTGAAAGACAGAGCACACGAATCAGTGATTGTGGGAAGTTTATGTATGTACAAAGCCTGCCCACAGTGACATCACAAGGACCAGGCAAAAAAAACCATTGCTCTGTGGAGATGGTCTTCTAAGAAAGACCATTTCAAGCTCATATTAATTCTCTTTAAAGTGGTTTAACATTATGTTTTTCTTAAGTGACTGCTTGTAAACAACTTATTCCCATGGAATATTAGTGTGCTGTTTGGTACAAAAGCAGCAGGTTATAGCATGCATACAAGAAACACACCATGTGCCTGAACCACTTGCCTTTGGGATTTCCCCATTCTATGTGAATAGGATCAAAGGGCTCACCAGGGCAACGTCACAAGCACTAGGTTCCTATAATACTTTTCATAAATATCGTGAGTTTTGTCTCAAAGAATGTTAGGCTTCTGCATTTTTCAGAACCTCATGGGTGTAGTGATCACCAGCCTTGTAAGGATGTCTCCACATAAGCTCTGGAAATTCAAACTGAGACTGTTTACCAGACCCAGTAATCGACCTCTCCCAGGTCACATAAGTGAACTTCTCAGACGTCAAGAAGTTTGGCTGCCCTGCATTTTAATTTGAAGTGAAATGGAGAGCAGTTGGCTTTAACATGTGATTTGGCAGCTGGGGGCAGTAATCCTTTAATGAATTGCAACAGCATGAATCACTAAAGGTATTCCAATTTATAGCCTAAATATATTCCTGGTCAGTTTTTCGCTCTTTTCTTGTGCCAGTACTGTCACAACATTTACCTCTGCTCTCTTCCCTCACCCAGCTAGACTTAAAGTGCAGTTTGCTGTCTGTAACCTGCAGACTGAAGGGAGTCAGACCTGCATTCCAGGGGCTGGGGCTGTGCCGTACATCACTGCAGACATAATTACATCAGAGATAGGTCTGTGCCTCAAATGAGATCAGTTTCACTGTCAGGAGATACAGAGGATCTCCTTGCAGGTAAACAAGCGCACAGCTTTGGATCTGAGGTACTGTTCATTGCAAGCATTTGAGTAATTATTCAGTGAAACTAATTAACCTCCTGCAGTTTTAGTAATTACTATTGGAGTGTCTACTTCTGCTCCATCAATTGGCTGTGTCATTTTCTACTGGAACTGTAATGTAGGAAGAAGGCAGAAGGAAAGTGCCATTGCCTGGCTGCACTGGGGGCAGCCCGAGAACCCTGGGGCTGTGTCAGTGCTGGGGAACAGCACCAGCTGCCCCGAGGCAGCTCAGGCAGCTCCTGCAGGGACAGCCGGCTCGGTGCTTCCCTGGGCACTGTTTGGTACATCTGATACTCTGTGTTCCTTGGGCAGAAACTGTGGTTGTGGTCATTCCCTGCCAGAGGGGGGGACGCAGGGCAGATGAGAAAAAGCCTGTGATAGGAAAACGAAATTGCAAGGTTTTGAAACTTGATTTCTGTTGTCTCCTGTCTCCACCCCCACCTCGCTGCTGGCAAATGAGTGGCCAGCACTGCTGGTTCTTGCCATTATTTTCACAACCCTTGTGATTTTTGGTGTCTGCATAAAACTACTGATTTGAATGTTTTTGTTTTTTAATATACTTCAAGTCCTTCGGATTGCAACATGAATCCAGAAGGTACAAAGAGCAGAGAGGCAAATAACCACAACTCTTCACTCACTGCTATTAAAACGTCGGAATTTGTGAGCGATTCATGAGTTAGGAGCAGGAAAAGGAGCCAAGCTGTGGTTATGCTGTCTTGAGTTTGTCAGTGTGGGCTGTTTTGGCTTATGATTGCCCAAGATTTGCACATGTGACTAGGAAACCACCTTAGGACAGACAAGAGACTGTTTCCTGCCTTTGAGATGTGGAATTAAGAATTTGTATTAGGAAGTTCATTTGGACAACTTTTTTCTAATTCAGTGATTTATCTTTCTCAAGAAAAAAAAAATACAAGTTTTTGCTACAAACATTACAGGGAGAAAATCAGCAACCAGCTCCTGAGGGCTGCTGGTTTTTAGGATGATTCTCAGTAGGAAGAACTAGTCGGACTCAACAGCTGTTATAATTAGTTTTTCCAACAGGTAAAGATACAAAATGCAGTTCCTCAAGAGGAAAGGGAGAACCCTCCCATTCATCCACCTTCTCTGTCCCTCTAGACCAGCCAGTGCTACCAACCAAGGCAAAGGTGGTAACTGTTCTTCACAAAAACCTTTTGAAATAAAATATTCTGTCTGGAGGATACTTCTTCATGCCCTCTGAAAAGCAGAGTGGGATGGGAGGGAGGGGGCCAGCATGGAAGTGTGAGAAGTGCTGACCCTGCAGAATGAAAGGAACGTAAAGAAGGAAGGGAAGCAATTAAAAAGTAGTTGAAAATGGAAGGCCTGTGGGAAAATTAGAGTGAGAAATTGTGGAGATTGGTTGAAATTACAGAGATGAATTCAAGGCATGGGGCAAATTGCAGAAGAAACAGGATTTCTTGCAGTCTTTCTGAGGGAAGGACACAGTGGAGACCTGTTGGAGTGCTACACCCACGCCACGGGCTGTGCCTGCCCTGCTCAGCCTGCACCAGGACTGTCTGCAGGTCCTGCCACACCACTGAGCACTCAGTGTGCTGCAATCCAGGAACCCGTGGTTTTTCCCCAGCCTAGCATGACAGAAATATTATTTTTAATACTGTATAAGGCAAAAGGAGACAGGACGGAGAGGGAGGGAAGGCTGGAAGGAGTCACTGCTCTCCGCTTGGAGAGATTTGTTTTGCACTGTCTTTTCTGTCTTGATTTAATAGCGAGTTGGCTCTTTCCAGCAACTAGGCAGGGGAGGAGGGACGGGAATATGTTCCCAGTCTTTGGCCAAGAGTGTCCCAGGGCGTCCCGGGCGTGACCTCTTCAATGTTTGTTTTTCTTTCCCTACAACTGACCCAGATGCTGGGATTTGAGACTTGGGCCCTCCTGGCCTGTTGAACATTTGCCCCCTCTGGTACAGCATGTGACAGTCTCATGAACCAGGCTGGGAACAGTACCTGGAACTGTTTTTCTCTCCAGCAGACTGTTTTGTCCGGTTGCGTTCCAGGAACCCAAACCCGTGCGGAAAATGCCGGGAGCGCAGTGCCACCCAGTGGGGATGGAGGCACGGACGGAGCCCGGCCAGGAAAAGGCCTTCCAGGCACTACAGTCACCCGACACACAACAAAGGAAAGGGAAACTACGGTTTGGCCTGTTTTATTTAGAAAACAGCCGCAGTGAATGTTCCGTGGAAACAAATTAGCGTTCATTTACATTTGCAGCCTGTGCAGTCTTTCTTGGGAATGACAGCAAGGTTTGCAAACTGAGATGGATTTGTTTTGGTCATGCAGAACTCAAAAACCAACAAAGTATCTTCAAACAAACAAACAAACTGGTTCAAACTTAATCTAATGCGCCAAACACTGGGAGAAAAAAGCACAGCTTTGGAACAAGACGTTATGTCATACCAAAGTACAAATATTTAATTCCTAAAACAACTTCTCTTTTTTCACTAGTAGTTATTGCAAATCCAGCTTAACACAATAAATAGTTGACCAAACTCTGGGACCAGACTGAGCCAGTTCAAGCACATTCCAGGGTAGATATAGCTGGGAAGTAAATTTCCCACCTACATTTCTTTGCCTGATTCGAGGTCTTGTGTTGGCAGGACTAAACTACAGCTGGTCCCTTTGTTTTTCTGTGGAGGGAAGGAATTAAGATAATTTAAGGATATAATGTACAGAGGAAACACAAGAACTAAGCATATATACAGATACCCCCCAGAGGAGCTGTGGTGGTGTTCCCATCCATTGCTCACGAAGCCCAAACCCATCCTCACTGCAGTCTGTGCCAGGAGGCACCGGGGTCAGACAGAAACTGCCCCGGGCACGATCTTACGGATGGGCGTGTAAGACTTCCTGAGGGTAACACTGCCGTGGTGAGACACCCCCCGAGGCAGGACACACTCTTCTGTCAGCTTCTGAGTTTCAGGGTCCCAGCAGAGCACTGTTGCAATGACTTCGTTCTTTTCATCTCGGCCGCCGGTGATGAACAGCTTGTTGTTGCAAGGAGAAATGCCACAGCTGGCTCTCTCGTGGGTGAACTGAGTCACCAGGCACCATGTGTCCTCCTGGGGGCTGTAGGAGTACAGAGCTTTCATTGCCCCACCTGGGAAGGAAATGGATATTGGTTTGCACTGGCCGTTCCTGTAAGGGATTTTAATTCAACCACCCACTTCAACAAGACTCTGTTCCTGACATTTGTTAAGAACGGTTTATGCCCCAAAGCCAAGAAAAAAACAAGGTCACAGGATACTTTATTGTTTTGAAAGCCTGATCTGCAGAAGGCCACTTGTTGTTCATAAGGCTGTGGAATTTAGGGCCAGAACAGCCTGCTGTGATCCTTCAGTGTGACTGCAGTGCACCTAGCAACAGATCTTTCTGATACCTGCTGCTCCAGCTAAGGACACAGCTTCAGAAAAATGCTATGTTGTTTAAAAGTGCTTAGATCATGGAGGACCAGCTGTGATAAACCATCACTGTTAGAAATGGGAACAGGATTTTTCCACTTATTCCTCTGTCCATCAATCCTCCTTCTTCCTGGAACTGGCTGCTTTCAAAAACCCTTCCTTGTTTAGAGTTTG